ATGAACAACTCTATTCCCTCAAATTTGATCACCTTACATGAAATGAACCAATTTCTTGAAAGACACAACAGGACAAAGCTCACACAAGAAGAGGTAGGCAATCTGGGGCGGTCTACATCTATAATAGAAACTATAACCAATGTACCCTCCACGGTGACATTCTGTTCATGGAGGAGGCTGCACATGTGTGAGAGCAGGTACAAGTGGGAAATCTATGTACTTTTCCTCCATTACTTTTTCTTTCAGTTCTTGGGATTGAACCCATAGCCTTGCATATGCTAGGCAAATGCTCTACCACTGAATTACAGCCACAGCCCTTTTAAAAAACTGTATTTGAGATAGGATCTTGCTAAGTGACACAGGCTGGCTTTGAACATGTGATCCTCCTGCCTCTGCCTCCCAGGTGGCTGAAATAACAGGTGTGCACCATTCTGTTTGGCTCCTTCCTTTCAACTTTGCTATGAATCTGAAACTTCCCTAAATATTAAAGAGAGGGAGATGAATATAATGACCAAATTTGCTGAGACTAATTTAAAATAAATAATATTTCTGTACACCAGTAATAAATGATTAGAAAAATAATAGTATAAGTTATAGACAAAACTAACAGAGTGGTACATTTATTTCTCATGTGTACATCTCATAGAAATCTCTAAATCTACATGTTCCAAATTGTATACTCAATTTTTATCTTCAAGTCTGGTCTTTCTGCAGTTTTCCTTATTTCAGTAGCTAGAAACACTATCCTTCTAGTATAGGATAAAAATGTTGCATTTATTCTTGATACTGCTCCATTTTATATCTCATAGTCAGCAAAATCTATTGGTTCTGTTTTTGCAATATATATGACTGCCTTGGTTACTTTTCTCTTGTTGCTGAGACAAAATACCCTATGCCCCAAATTAAGGAAGGAAAGGTTTATTTAGCTCATAGTTTGTGGAGGTTTCAGTCCATACTCTGCTGGCTCCAAGGCAGAGTGGTACATGGCAGAGGGCAACCGTTCATGGTGATAGAAGACAGCAAAAGCAAGCAAGAGTGCAAGGGGAGGAGCAGTGGCAAGTGGCCTCTTTCCATCCCTTATACTGTACGCAAACTATCCACCCCAGGGTGGGTGTAGTACTCACATCCATAATTTCAGCGCTGCTGTAGAGTCCAAGTCCCAAGTCTCTTCCCAGATATATAAGGCAAACTCTCAGCTGCATGCCCCCATAGAAATGAAAAGCTAAACACTTCCAACATTCAATGCGCAAGATAAATATTACCATTCCAAAAGGTACAAACAGGAGGATACAAAGCATTGGGAAGAAAGCAAGTCCAACATCCAGCAGGGAAAACATTAAGTCCTGTAGCTCCATGTGGAACATCTGAAGCAATCTGTGGTAAATTGTGAGCTCCAAAGGGCTTGTGTGACACTACGCCTATGGCACTTCTAGTGGTTGTAGCTCCTAGGGCTTCTCTCTTGGGCCCACTTTGCACCCTCCTTGCAGCTTTCCTCAAACAGTCCACATTCCTGGCTTTTCCAAACTTCTGAGATCTATACTGCGCCTCTCGTTTCACACTTACAGCTTCACACACTGCTCTCTCAGGGGCACACCGCCTGGCCTCCCAGGCCTTCTTCCGAAATCGAGCTGGAAGCCTTCTTAACCTCAGAACTCTTGCATTCTTTATGCACCTAAAACCAGCACCATGTGGATGATGCCAAGGTCTGCTGCCACTGGGAGCAGTAGCCAAGCTTTCCTCTCTCTTGGCCATAGGGATTGAATGCCTGCATTACCAAGCATTCTGAACCTGATCCTGAGGAACAAATTCTCTATGCTGCCGCCATTGTGGAACCTGATGAGGCCCTGCTGCCATTCTGAAATATGGTGCTCTGTGGCTTTCTTCTCAAAGCAGTCTTTCACCTTTGCAGTTTAGAGGCTGCAAAGGGTGGAGACTTACTGCTTCTTTTGATGCCCTCAGGCCATCTTTTCGATTCTTTTGTTCCTCCTCAGCAATCAAGATCTCCTCTGATACCTCTTAACTTTGTCTCCTATTCTTCTTCACTTGTTTTGCCCTACAGAGTCCCCTACTTTTTACCTACTCTATCAAACATACAATCATCTTTGTGTTTGCTATTCCTTTGCTTGGAATATTTATCCCAAATATATAGTGCATTTTCTCACTTCCTTTAGGTTTTTCCCTCAAATGTAACCTTACAGCTGATCTTTGAGCTCCTTATATAAAATAGCAACCCTAGTCTACTCTTTGATTACTCCCATTCTTTGGTATTTTCTATCTCCTGAATTCCTCATAGTTTTCCTTACTGACACCCATCTCCAACAGTACACTAAATGTACTTTTTATTTTGCAAATATATCCTCCACTAAATGCACTTGCTATAATGGCAGGTATTCTTTTTTGCTTGGCTAACTCCTGAGCACCTTGAACAGTGTATGTTTTCTATATATGTTCAAACATGTGCAAAAATTATGTATTGGCTTTTATGTTATTCATTATATTTTCCTTTATGTTTGAAGTATTTCACTAAAAGGAATAATCTAAATTCTAAAGTAAACTAACATTTTACTGTGCTTCAGATAGCAACATTTCATGCAAATAAGTCTCACTAGTACTTTTTTCCACTCTTAATACTATTAAGTTGATGGAGATATACGAATTGAAGGTACACAAAATAATTTGTTTCATATCACAAAGCTTTAGCAAAATAACCTAGAACTCTGACACTTACTATAACAGGAATATATGAGGGGATTATGGATCTAATGACATTGAAACTATTAAGTATTTGAAATAAAAACATTCTTTCACACTACAGTATAAGAGAAAAAGATTTGAAGCCACTTATTCAGACTTAAAACAGAAACTCTTCTTACTAAAATTTTACTTTACAGCAAAATAAAACTCTGACATTACTCGAACAGTTATCATGTTTCTGACCTTTTCAAATCCACCATCTCTCAGATTTTTTTGCTTCATGTAAATGTCAAGATCAGTGGACAAAGCAAAGACAGCGAGTGACAGGAGTGAGAATGGCAGAGAAAGCACTTATGAAAAGCTGCCCCTCCAAAAAACCAATGTGAGTACTGGCAAGTGCCATAGGTTATATCTGGATGTCCCCCAAAGCCTCATGTGCTAACAGGTGGGGCTTTGGGGAGGTGAGTGGGTCATGGGGGTGTGACACAGTGGATTAGTGCACTGATGAGTTCACAGCTAAATGTGACATTGGTGGGAGGAGGTGGGCTACTGGGAGTATGGCTTGGAAGGGTCTCCCTCCTCCTCCTCCCTTGATTTCTCTCTGCTTCCTGCTGCCATGCTATCTCTCTCTGCTCCTCCACCAGGCCCCTCGGCCATGCCACCCTGCCTTGGAGCCAGCCAACTGTGGACTAAAATCTCTACAAACTGTGAGTCAAAATTAAACCTTTACTTCTTTATTTCAGTTATGTCAGGTAACCATAAAGTAACTAAGACAACAAGACTATTCAAATAAATGTTTTTAAAACTTTGGAAATTCAACAAAAGCCTGCAACAACCTGAAGAGTGCAAATTTAAGAAAAAAGAGACTAAACAGAAATGTGAATTTGTCCTATTCTCTTTTCCCCCTCAGCTGCACCTTGAAAACTACCAGTTTAGCAAACATCACAAAAGTCAACAGCATAGCATGCACTGCGAGGGGTAGAACTGTTTGGGAATGCCTAAAAAGCACTATTTCTAGGAAAATGCAATTATTTGTCCTGTTTGCCAGTTCCCTGGAAGCCTAGTTGGATAGAACTTGTCTTCATTTGGCTTGTCTCAGCATTTTCTCAGTGCAAACACCTTTTTTCTTGGACATATTTGGCAAAAACAATCAATAGTAATTGTTTAACATTGCAGGTTCTTGAAGCAGACACAACGGGGTGAAGAAACTGTTCCTAAAATTAACAGGAAAAGTTGGGGAATGTAATGTTCACGAGAGGCTCTGAAAGCTCTGACATGCCCCTGGAGTCCAGAAGACTATCCAAACAAGGCCACACATGCAGGGCTGTGAGCACGCCAGGGCAGACTTGAAGAGGCTTCAGCCTCTCTTCTCTGCTTGATCACAGGCTCTAAGCAAGCAGAAAATAAAGCTCCAGAAGGTTGCTGACTGAGTAAGGATGTGCTCCAATAAGGGCTTAGAGCCTCTCAGGAAAAGCTAGGTCCCCATACAGACAAGTTAAGGAAATCTGTCTGCTCACTATCTGAGCATAAAGCCAACAAAGCAATGGTCACACTTGACAAAGAATACAGACTCATAGAATTTAGAAAATTCACTAAACAAATACTATTATCAACAAAATCACTGCCCTAACAAACTATCTCCTGGGCAGGAGAGCAGAATCTCATTCTAAAATTGCAGTATTATTTAAAGGTCCAATTTTCAACAAAAAATTGAACACTGGGGTTAGTAGACAAAATTTTTAACCAGTTATTTTAAAGAACTAAAGGAAACCATCTTTAAAGAACTAAAAAACTGCACTGTATGTTGAAAGAAGAAAGATGTCTCAGTAAATACAGAATAGCTTTCAAGAGACTTAAATTATTTTTTAAAAAATCATGTATACATGGCAGTGTTGAAAAGTTCCATAACTGAAGTGAAGCATCTACTCCCGGGGCTTCTTTGTCAACCAAGAAACCAGTTCCAGTTCTACCAATAACTCAGCATTTCTTTATTTTAAAAAATTCTTCCTTTGATTCTGTAATCTCTTATATAACAAGGCAATGTACAAACAAACTATGATTGCATAGAAAATAGAACAAAAGTTGTTAAATGCAGAAATACGTCAAAACAATGCCCTTACCTATAATGTTCAAGTAGATGTAGAGGTTTTAGAAATATCTGTATGACCAAAGTATGTTAGAAAACAGTGACGTTAAGAGGACACAAATAACAATGTTATTAAGGGCACTAATGATACTAGGTACACTCATTTTAACAACAATCCTTTTTAGAGTTTGTGAACTACATTTTCTCATCGTGTACATACCAGATCTGTCTTTGGGGGCTCTGCACATTCTGCAGAGAAATACGGTGCTGAGCTTCTGAGTGTGCTGCTGTCAGAAGGCGGCTTTGGAGGTTGGGCGTGTTGTCTGTAAGTAGCACTTTTAGGAGTCCAACAAAACAGGTTGATTGATTCTCGTACACAGCGTTCAATGTCGATTTCTAGATAGAAATATTTTTTTAAAAAGTTTAGAATTTAGATTGATTTGTTAAATAAAAGAATAATCATTCTTAAATGTATATGGCCAAATATGGTTAAGATAACTAGAAAAGAAGCCAGTTAATAAAAAATGCAGATTTTTATCAGCATATTAATAGCTGCAATAGGGGATATTTGTTATTATTACATGCACACATATAGAAATGTATATAAACACATTTATAAATATATAAAATAAATAAGACATATTTTATGTATTTTATTTGCTATTACCTATATATATAGACTTTTTTACATTGGAGCAATATCAACAAAACCAGATGAAATATAACACATCTCCTTACTGAAACATCTGACTCACTCTGATAATGTTTTCAGAGCTTGGGGGAGCTGGAACTTGAGAACAGGTAGACAAAAGATTTAGATACTGATTCACCACAACTTCTAGTAAAGTGTACTAAAACTTTCAATGTCATTTATTAAATAAGACATAAAATAATCAGGGCAAAATTTACTAACATCTCAAAGTAGTCATCTTTTCTTTTATAATTAAAATTTATTAGTACATGTTTGAAGTACATAATGGTCATGTTCATTGCAAGGAGTGGGTACATGTACATATTTTAATTCCTTTTACTTCATCTTTCCCTGCTCTCCCTCCTTACTCCCTCCATCTCTTGGTCTCCTTCCCATTTGAAAAAGATCTATCTCCCTGTTTCCTACCATCTTCTATTTTGTTCTTTTATTTTTTTTTATTTTTTGGTTTTTCTCCGGTACCAGGAACCGAACTCATGACCTTACGCTTGCCAGGCAGGCGCTTTTGCCACTGAGCTAAATCCCCAGCCCTATTTTGTTCTTTTATACTTTGGGTTTCTCATATAAGAGAAACCATGCGATATTTAAGCTTGTGCATCTGATTTATTTCACTTCACATTACTGTCTCAAAGTGCATTCATTTTCCTACAAATGACTCATGTTTATCCTTCTTTATAGCTAACCAGTACTCCACTGTGTATAAATGCCATACTTTCTCTATCCTCTCATTTGTTGGTGGACACGTAGGCTGCTTCCAAGATTCGGCTATTATGAATTATGCTGTTATAAACATGAGTATACATGTTATTATTGTAATATGTCATAATATCTTTAATGGTTTAAAATGACTAATAAAAATGACTTTACAAAATACAACATTTTCATAGAATATTTCCTTTTCTTAGATTTGAAATATAAGTTATCTTTGATGCAGAGGTAATATGTAAACAGAATGATGATTACAATTCTAAACTATTATTTTTGATGGGACTGTAGGTCTTTAGGAGGCCAACATTCCTGAGGAGGAATTAGCCATTCCTCTATGGGGAAAGAGGAAAGATCATAGAATGGAAGAAGTTCACTAAGCTGGCTCAGATGACAGAGTTTTGCACTGATTACCTTTTTCTCTTTCTGTATTCCTAAAGCCAGCAAGTAGAAGATAGTATTTTCATTTTCTCTGCAAAAACCCAAGTATGTCAGCTCATATAAGCAATGGAGAAAAATATATGTTGAAGATTATAAAAGATATATGTTATATATTTCTCTTTTTGAAACAAAAAGCTTATATATAAGGGGAAGGGAAAGAAGCACTAAACAAGGAGTGCATGTGATGCCTAATCTAGCTTGTTGTCTGGATTGAGAGACACCTGAAATTGGTCAAGCATACTTCAGGTTGGGGCCTCGCTGGACAAAGGTGGGGCATTGGGAGCCCACCACTGAAGGGTATTTGGGGACCATGGCCTTTCCTCTTGCTCTTGTTTGCTTCTCAGCCACCATGAGGTGAGTGGTCTTCTCCCCACTCACTCCCCCATATGATGCTCTACCTCGCCACAGGCACAAGCCAGCAGAGCCAAGTGACCATGAACTGAATTTCCTGAAATTGTGAGCCAAAATAAATCTTTTCTCCTTTCCATTGATTTTCCTAGGTATTGTCATAGCGAAGGAAAGCTGACTAACACAGTCAAGAGTTAGCATTTACAGTTATCTGGTATATAAGGGAAGGGAAAATGACATGAGCATACCACTAGGTATTATACTTTAGTTCACTTCATCCTTACAATGATTCTTAAAGTCAGGTGTTGTAATTCCCCCTCCCCTGCCATTTTTGTTAAAGACCAAGAAACTAAGACAGAAAAGCTAAGTGTCTTAGGTACTTGTGTGCTACCATGTGCAGAATATCTGAGGTTACTAAGGGGTCATAAGATATCTTTTTTTTTTCCCAAGCCATTTATATTTGGAATATGACCAGCAAGTCCGAAAAGATCAGTTACTCAGTTAAGCATTCCCTTATCTGCTATTAGTGATTCTTCTGCCAGCTTCACAGCTGGTTCCTTCCATGGCTACACAGGAGGTCAGACTTCATCACTCCACATACAAGTCTTATCATAAAATTCTATAAAAATGAGTCAAACATGCTTTGAGACATGAGCACATTTAGTTGGGCAATGGTAATGTAGTGCAATGTTTTTTTTAAAAAGGTGTAAAATTAACCTGAGATTCCTTAAGGAGAAGAAGAAAAATACCAACTAGAAGAAATATAAAACTTTAAGATAGTTTACTCTTCTTGAGAGGTTCAATTTATTTTAGAAAATGTTCAATTTAAATAGTTAAGATAAAAATTTGTGAGCTAAATAGAGCAAACTCTCAGTTGTCTAAATTTTGTCCTTTTTTTTTGTACCAGGAACCAAATTTAGGACCTTGTGCTTGCCAGGCAGATGCTGTGCCACTAAGCTATATGCCCTAAATTCTGTCTTCTTTGATACCCAAAGGTGAAGCATTTGGGTTCAGATTCTACTTCTCCAGTGTTCAAATCAGTTTGCTCTGTCACCTGGCAAAAGCTGAAATCAGGCCAATGATCTATATCAGAGCTTGTAGTTCAGTCCTAAAGTCAGCGACAATGGAAAATGACAATTTGCATCTGATTCCAAAACATCCTACTAACCCCATAAAAGCTTTCTGGTAACTTTGATTATTTATGGAGATCTACCTTGACTATTAGCACAGGTCCTCATTCCCCATCCACCTGACACAGGTCACCTCTCCATCTCAAAGTCCTTCTAAAGCACTGTATATAAGCAAAGTAGAACAACTGTTTCCTGTGCACGCTTCCTGTGCAAAAGTATTATGTAAACTGTATATGCAAATGTGCAATTATTCTCACAACATAATCTCTCATTTTATGACACTCCAATTCCTTGCTTGTTATATTGTACATTAAGACAAGGTGTCTCAGGTTTGAATCAAAGCTCGATGAGGTACTCTGTGACAGTGAAATTATTTCTCCAAGTCTTGGTTTCTTCATTCTATAATCCTCAATATTATATCTTAGAAATACTGAACTACTTTCAGTATGATCAAATGTATCTCATGTTTACATTTGGGGAGGGATAGGTAAAAAGATTTCTCTCTCTCGAAGCCCTCTCTCTCTTCTTTTCCTTGATGGCTATGAATTACTTTCTACATCTACTGCATAGGTGTCATCCCAGAACTCTCTTACTAGTAGCTGATTGTATTTGGCTGACCTCTATATTCGACTCTATAGAGGGGGTACTTACTCTTTCTTGATGCATTTCACTTTGATGGAACATATTTTCCAGTAGCTTCTATGACAGTGTGCACAGGAAGCAAGTTATTTTGAAATCTTACATGACTTATCCTATATTTTGCCTTTGATGGATGGTTTGTGTATGTACAGCATTCTAGGGTCGAATATTTTTTACCAGAGATACGAAAGGCTCTATTGTCTACTGTTGAGAAGTCTGCTGAAATTTGGATTTGAGAAAATTTGCATGTGGCTGTCCCCTTCTCTGTAAACTTTTAGGCTCTCTGAATTCTGAAATTTTATAATGTATTTTAGTGTCAATCACTTCACTGGGCAGGACATTTGACACGTTCCCCAGTATTACCAAAAAAGTCTCATTTGATACCTATGACAATTTATCTTCTCGTTTATTAGAAAAAACTTAAACATCATGAATTCTCTAATAATCTTGTCATTTACTCTTACTTTTTACCTGTACATTTGTTTCATTCTCTGGAAGAATTCCTAAATTTTACTCTCCAATATTTTTAACATAAACTTTATCCTACTTCAATTTTAATTTCTATATTTCCATGAAAAATCTACTGTTTTCTGGTGGTTAGAAAAATCTTTTTTTATGGTTGTATTATCTTCTCACAGTTGTTTTTAGTTTTTTTTTTTTTAAAGATAAAGTCTCTATCTCCCAGCCTTTGTGGAAGGTAGGAACTTAACTTTGATAAACACTAGTGAGCAAACCCTTATGGGTTTCACATGGACCAGTTCAAGTCTCCCTTCTTGGGTTTCCACATATTTGTAATATTTCACCTCTCTGATCCTACTGTGCCCTTCCACACTCCTTTCCTGTTTCCTCATTCTCCCTTTAAAACACCCAGTTGCTTCTGGACAATTCAGAGTTGACTTCAGGTGACACTGGATTATTTATCCTCTTGCAATAGTTTATTACTGATTAGAATCTGTCCTTACCACTTTGGTGTGTGCTTTCTCTTTCACAGTAAAGTTATTGCTAGTTCAAGGAATGATTTCCTGGAACTCTCCCACTACCCGCTATACAGGTGCAGAGCCTAAAATGCAACATGAACATGTTCTGACATTAGAGATTAAAATGAGTGGTTGACACATGCTTGTAAAGTACACAGCCAAAAACCAGACTGTGAGAAATTCTTCCAAACATAAAGCATGTAAAATTGTAAACAAAAGATTTGGTTCTCATTGATGTCTAGTCAAAAGATAAATACTTTCCTTTCAGAAATCCTCTTCATAATGCTACACATACAATTATAATACGCTAAGCACCTTTTCCTTTTTGATGGGAATTTAAGAAAATAGCATCTCTGAGTTTATTGGACACAAACCTGTAGCATTCTGACAGTGAGTACAGCTGTGTGAAAAATGATGTTTTATGCATTCCCACTACCAATAATAAGA